GCCCCAAGTCCCGCCCCCCCCACCCCAACTGGGCAGCTTGTCCCAGCCTCAGTCCGTCCCTCCCCCAACCCCAACATACTGACCAGCTGGCCTGTTTAGTCTATGACCGAATCGCAGAATCTTTTCTGAATTGATTCGGATGCCTTGAATCGTTTCAAAGCTTTTAACTGGTCTTCGGATTTGGAGATTCGGTCCCCGAATCAGGCCGAATCTCCTCCGAAATGAATCTGCTACCGAAGCTTCACACAGCCCTACTACTTAGGATAATTACAGCAAGCCAAGAGGACTGGCTTTTAGCAGAAGGGAAGATTAAAGAGAATTAACACTGCAGGATTTTCAGTGCGGGTTTGATTTCAACTGGCCATGCAGTTTCATCAAACAAAACCTCATGATGAGGAAGGGTGTAGGTTGTAGCTGTGTTGGTCTAAGGACATAGGCAGACAAGGTTCCTTGGGTGAATTTGATATCTTTTATTAGACCAACCCAAATGGTTGGAGAATAGTTATTAAGCAAGCTTTCGGGTTCAAAAACCCTTCGTCGGGCTCATGAAGCTGCAGCAGTTTGCATTAATTGCTCAGAGGGATGGAAGTACCCAAGTCAGGCAGTTAGAGCCGTTAACAACTTAAAGCCTGGCAAACGATTCACGAGGAATCATTCACCCAGCAAAGGCAAGGCTGTTTCCTTTTTCCTTTGTGAACTATCCAGGAGGTAGACCTCATGTTAGTGAAGCTGCTCACTCTTTGCAGTTGGCTACTGAATCAGCCGTGCGACAGAAGGTGCAAAATCTAATTGATTTCAAAATCGGCGTGACCTGTTGGCCGACGTGCCGTGGGGCTGGTTACCAGCCTCAAGCTGCTGTTGCTGCTTGTTCCCTGATGACTGAATCTATGCAAAGCAAGGAGCTGGGTCTTGAACATTGCAAACGGTCAGACTGGATTGAACTCTTTCTTGCAGGGGCCTGAATTAGATTGAACTCTTTGCGGGGGGAAAAAAAAGACTCAGCATTCACTAGAAGTAAGGCCCTGCATGAAAGTTGTGGGTTGAAACCATCACCCCCACCCAACATTCAAAGTGAAGGTCCAGAGGAGAGGTTTTGCAACTTCCACTGAGATCCAGTCAAACGTGAGCTCCTAAAATCAGGTCGGGGGGGTGGTTTCCCCCTCCAAGCAAGACTCTGGGCCTGTTCCCCACATAGCAAGTCATCTGTCCTATGTCATCTGTTCAGGTGCTTCAGCAATCGCATTCAAATGAAGGCCTTCATCCTGAACCCCGGCCTTCCCAGAGCCTATACAAACAGCACGGCAGTGCTGGGGTATCCATGGTGTGAAACAACCGCGGTGCTGAGCAAGCATCAGCCGGTAGTTAATGTGTGAGCTGCAGTCCGAGCGCGAGCTGCCAGTAAAAGATGCCTAATCCCGTCCCACGCAGTTAAAATCCAACAGCCCATGGATGTTACACAGCAATGCCTTTGTTTCATCTATCCTCTGTCGTGCACAACAGGTTAATGGCCTGTGTTAATATAATTAACAAAGGTAAATCACCTGGCATCGGCAAAAATCAGGTCAAAAAGGTTTTTCTTTCATGTGAAATGTTAGTAACAAGGTACATGAGCTCCTTGCTCAAGACCGTAAAAGCAGGCATCGCCGCTCTGGATGGGACCGGCCGTCGGGACCGGGAGCCAGGGTGCAGTAAGGACTGCTTCGGAGGGAGGTGTGAGCAATGTGTAGCAGGCAGATGTGGGATAGCCCAAGATCATCCTCTTACCCACCGTGGAGACTGGCTCATGTCCTCATGCAGAAGGAGCAACGTCCCTTCTACGTCGCATTTTTGGAGTCATCGGGTAGAACAGCTCGGCCTATTCCCAAAACTCCCAAACATGGGCAATACCTCTTCTCTCGTTCAAACACTAATCGCTCCGACAAGCCACCAATAACACCTCTGTTTTCCAGACAACCTTTGGAAAAAAAATCTGGTTCAATTCCCAACAGAGGATCTGGGCAGCTGCGTTTCCCATTCACAGAAGTGCCCAGGGGTCTCATGCTGGCCGATGTGTTACCTAAACCCCAGCTTGTGCTGGCAGGCGCAAGCTGAGGTCGGGCCACGACCACATCCAATATAAACGTCCGAGCTGGTGAAGCCCTGCCCTCAAACAGATGGTGTTTTTGGTCTGGGAGGTAATCGCTCCTGAGCGCCGCCGCTGATGGACTCCAAGATTTCAGGGATAAGAAGCCAGACCCCACTGATCTGGGAAGGGAAAAAAATAAAAGAAAGGAGCCTCCGGTCTCTGGTTAGTCAAGCCATCGGCTGTAATCGGATCCGTAGTCATTCCTAGAGCGCAGCACTGGTGAGGGGCCACGACAGTATTACCTGCCAGGGCAGGGGCTGCAGACACAGCTACTGCCCTAGTCTCTCTTACTATCTTCCCGTGCCAAAACGTACGGGGAGGTGCATTAGATTCACCATTTGCAATGGGATGTTGGGGTGCCTCGTGGCTCTGGGATACAGGAGTGGCCGAAGCAGAGGTTTCCGTGGACACTTCTGGACCAAGAGGTGCTCCTCCCAGCCCCAGCTGCCCCGTGACCAAACCATGCTATGCTGAGCAGTTACGTGCCCTCCACCATCTGAGGCCCGGGCCTCCCATCTTGGCGCCCCCAACGGTGATGGGCAGATGCGGTCACTCGGTGACGCGGCCGTTTCATGGCAGCAGTTGTACAAAGCCGACCGGCCTTCACGAGACCTGCAGAGGCGGATTGCTCCTGTCCCTGCGAACGGACTCGCCGGGCAGGTCTTTGCTGCAGCAAGTCGCTCCTGGCCCGCTCCCCGCCTGCTGCCCCCCGAAGCAAAAGCAACGCAGCGCCGGGCCTTGCACCAACGAGCCTCCCAGCTTTGTGCGCCACGGCGGCTGCATCCCTGGCGTGCTGGGAGGCAGCACCCGTGGAGCAGAGGCATCCCTGCCGCGGCACTCCTGCCCCCTCAGTCCCTGCACATGGGGAAGGGGGATGACAGGGAGCCCCAGCCGTGTGCTACGTGCTCAGGCTCCAGGGCTGAGACTCTGTGATCCTTTGGCACAAAAACGACTCAACTTTGGGTGCCCGGGGTGCTAGAGAAAGCCTTGAAATGAGGGGAAAAAGCCCCGATTCTGAAGGCTTGATTTGGGGGGGCTGGCTCACGACGTCCGAAGGAGGCGGGCACCGCTTGTGCTGCAAAGCTGCGTGTTGCGAGCTGACTCCAGCGGCCAGGAAAGGTCAATGCGGCAGGACCCCCGCTGCCCCGCTCTGCTGGGCTTGGCTGCTCCCGAGACGTGCCTTGACATGCATTTGTACGGAGAGCAATTCAGCTGGTGCCTTGATGACGCCGGGGGAGACTTACGTAACCCTGGGTTGCTGTTCTTGGCCCACATCCTGCAAGCAGATGTGCCAGCGTGGCCCTTAGCCCCTGCCTGCCCCCCAGCCAGCCCCTGCATAGGCCCCGCTTGCCAGGCCCGGCCCCCCACGCCTCCAGGAGCTTTGAGTGTTTTATTCCCCCTTTTGCAAAGAGTCGTATTTCGGAAAAATAAAGAAGTGTTGAATCTCCTAACCAACCGCTGCCTGTCACACCCCGGTCCGGACCTGGCTTGCTTTCCACGTCACTGCCTCAGAACGAGAGCAGGTAGAAAATGCACATGAGAAATCATTGCCAAGGCATGTTTTAGGTTATAAAGGTCTGACTGGAAACATTTCTGTTAAGTCCTAAGGAGTTACGTGACCACAGCACCGGTCCCCCAAATGCGTGCTCAGGGCTTGACTCTGTAGGCTGGGATTTTCAAAAGGCGCCTAAGAGTTAAGTCCCAGTGCCTGGATTTCACTGTTTACGGCCCCGGTTCCCATTAAAATCAAGTCGGCACCTCAACACCTGTGAGGACCTGGGCCCTTATCTTCTAAAATCCATTATTAAATCCAGCCCTGTGAGCTGTCTGTCCGGCGCGCTGAGCTATTGGCTCGCATGGGGCTAACTCTGCCAAGACAGCAAGCGCTGGCCCTTAATGGGTGGATAGCCATAAACTCTGGGTCTGATGCTCCGCGCATTCATGCAGCCGATTCAAGTTAACGCGTGCGAGCGAGCCTAATCCGGGAGTCATCCTAAAATCATTTGTGTGCACGCGTTTAGGGAAGAGCCGGGCTTTCGAAGAGGGATGATGTACAATCCCTGCCAAACTTCAACGCTGCCCCGAGAGTTGCGCGGGCTAAGCCGAAGGGAGGCGTCCGCTGACACAGCCTGACCCCCGCCACGGGACGCCAGGGAGTAGGTTACACCCAGACTTTCTGGAGAAGTAAAAGAGGGAATCCAGCTGCTGATGCTGAGTCCTACTTTTTGGGAGAGCATCTAACACGCAGCAGCTGTCGGACTTCAGCCGGTTGAGCCCTTGGCCAAGCAAACGAGTTCTCGCCAGGGGCAAAACCACCGGGGTTAAGAGACCGTTTTCACGTTTCCCCCTATCCCCAGCTCAATCAGGGCCAGAGGCAGCTCTCCCCCGCTCCGCCGTTCGGGGGGTAAGCTGGTTTCTGCTCAAAGCAGAGGAACAAAACCCGAACGCACGCACAACTGCACACGTAAATGCTCGCAGGCTCAGTTAACCTGCAGGGCTAACGACTGGCCGGGAAGTCTCTGGGCCCGTTGCTGTTTTCCTTTACTGCTAATCCCATTTGGTTACGGTTTTCCACGCACACAGGAATGCTGATTCATTGCATTCAGGCTGGCGGGTATAAATACAGAAGTACAAGGGGGGGTTCACCAGCTTTCTTCCAAAAGGCACGAGAGAAACAGCAGACGCTTTCAAGAAGACACAAAAGACGGGGAGGGCTGTGGCGGAGGTAAGGTACAGAAGAGCGTTTCCATAAAGGTGATTAGGGAAACATCTTATCCTAGCAACATTTCAATCACTAAAGAGAAGGGAAAGATAGCAGAGAATATCGACGGTCTATGCTGGGGTTACATACCTCTTTCCATGTTCCTGGATTTGAATGCAATTTTATGACCACTGTATCAGAGTTTTGTAATAAATAACATACTGTGCTTCAAGATATTTAAGAAGCAATAGTTATTTTTAGAGTATTAAAGCTCTACCAGGGAGAGGGAGGGGAGCATGGCAACGGCAAAGGCTCCACAAATTGATGTAGTACAATACTGCTTAGAGGCCAGGCCTGTACCTTATTCCTACAAGTACTCTCTGTTTGGAGAACGGTCGCACCGAAAGCAATGGGCCTGCTCACACAACTGGCTGCTGAATCGGGCAGAGGAACAGGGTTTACAAGGAAAGGCTGAAATAACTAGGATTATTTCATCTGGAGAGGACAAGAGTGAGGTGGGCTGATAAACCACCCTTCGGGGATTTGAAGACTGTTGTTGGAGAGGACAGGGATATTCTACTGTCTCTGCCTGTGGAGGACAGGATAAGGAGCAACGGTCTTAAATTGCAGCAAGGGCAATGTACGGGGGATTATTAGAAAGCACTCTCTCATTGCGGGGTGGGGTGGGGAGATGTCGTTAGCTGTGTTAGTCTGAAGTCAGGTAAGAGGCAGAGGGTACGTCTACATGAGATGCTAACTGCAGAGTAGCCTACTAACACTGCGCAGTAGTGTGCTGCGCAGGAGCGGTGCCAATACGCTACTGTGCAGTAGCATTAGGCTACGGCGCAATAAGTGTCACTAAAAACCCGCGCGCTGCCATTCCTGCATAGCAACGCGAGTTACTGCACATTCATTTAGTACTTGGTTAACCAAGGACTAAGGTTAATGCATGGTAACTGCAGCACGTTAATGAACGCGGAGAGGCGCCCCGAGTGAAGTTGCAGTTGCTTATGAAAGATTATGCATCTCTGATTCAATTAGTCCACACTTTTTTAAGTAGGAGAGCACCTTTGGCATTTAAAAGCAACCCAAAATCTACTGTGCACTGCCATCACCCCCCAGCAGGTAAGTCTGTGGGGAGGGAAGTGGGGGGCAGATGGAGAAAAATTATTTGGGGCGCACCTCCTCAGCAGGTAAGTCCCACCTGGCCGGGGCCCCACTCAACTTACCCCTGCACCTGCCTCTGCGGCACTGTCCCTCATTGCGGGGGCCTTGATCCAGCCCCTCCCCCTTCCCTCCCCCACCGACTGACCCGCTGGGCTGGGCACATGCATGCACGCGGGCACTCAGCCCCCCACCCCAGCCTCGGATCGATGCCAAGAGGCTCCGAGATCTACCGGTGGATCGAGATCCACTGGTTGGTGATGCATTAGTCTGTAAGGTGTAACTTTGCTTTGAGGGTGGTTTAGGGGCTGCTGGAAAATGGAGTCAGGGCTTTGCCCACCCCTGGTTTAGACTAACCTTTGAAGACTGAATCATTTCAGCCTCAGGATTTGTGACTGTCTGCACTTAGCCCCGAGGTCCCCTCCAGCCCTCCTCTTCTATGCTCCTGAGAAGGGGTCCTGAAAAGCAGTGGGGGCAGCAGCAAGTGTTTGAAAAACTAAATCTATTAGCGGGAAACTGTCTAGAATTGATTTTCCAGAAATGCTATTCTAACTCCTCACATGGAGATACAACTCCAGAATACACTCCTATTTATTTAGGAGGAGATGATTCAGAAATAGATGCTATCGAATTGCTATTCCAATCAACAAGGCCTAAGACAAAGACTCATTCTCCAAATGCCCTTGCCTTCCAGATCTAGTGTCCTTTGTCAACCTTTTAAAATAAAACTTACATAATTTATGTATCAATATATTTTATTCATATAGCACATGTAAGGAGTTGCTATTTTCTCCCTCTGATGATTTAAGAAATAAGTCCTCTGCCTGTATAGAGGGTGGAAAACAAAAGCACATTTAAGATCCATATGTCAGATGCTGTTTTCCCCTCAAATATTTCTACTTTATCTAACAGATGTTATGCAAAAACATGATGCTAATCACAGCCTGCCTTCAGTGCTGAACAGGGTTTTGACACAAGGTGAAAAGAGCAGGAATAAAACTAGTAAAAGCTCGCTTAAAATCTGATATGGTTTAACTTTGCTCTCCTGTATCCACTGCCATTCAGGACAGTCTCATGGACTTGACTGGGACTTGCACAAGGGCTCTTCTGCTGTGTGGGGCCCACACAGACTACTACCCATCATTTCCCTCCTGGAGGGAAGGCCAAATGAATCCTGGCTACTGGCAGCAATAGGGTATGGACGCACACCTACCCCTGGAGCCATTTCAGCGGGGAATGTTTCGAAGGGGCAGTTGCGGTTATGTCCTAATTGGTACGTCTGGACAAGCGGGGAAGGAAATGCATCGTTCCTAGCTTGTCTGCACCAAACAACTGGAAGTACCAGATGCTGCCCTTCTGAAGCAGCTCCAGATGTATGTGTACCTCCACCGATGAGAGGAAGGGAAAGTTTGCAGAGGAATTGCATGGCAACCCGGTTTGAAGAGGCACCGTGCAAGGAATAATAGACAAGGAGTCCTGGATTGATATCATCCACATTTCTCCAACAGCCACCAGCCCGCAGCTGTACGTAATTACAGCAAGTTCACTGGCACAGTCAATGCAGAGGGGCTAATTCATCAGTACCTTTTCACTCATTTGCGCATCACGGGCCTGACTATGAAGATGAGGAAAGAGCTTTTGAGTGACAAATTACAAAGCTAGCTGCTCTCTGCGGCAGATGTTGCCTGCTTTGAAAAGATCATTTGCAGCTTTAGTGAGACACAAGATGGGTTTAGGGCCATCTGCTTGGATTTCAGTCCTCCCTGAACAACAATACAAAAGGTCAGAGGAAGAAACTCCTACAGAAATGAAGCTTGGCATGAATGCTACTCCTCACGGCATCCAAAGCAAATCTGAAGTCTCTCCGCTGGCAGTCTACTCCACTACCTACAGACTGACTCGAGCGCTTGCCTCCTGCAAGCAGAAGGAAAGTGAAGTTTGCTGCTTAGTGGGTAGGGACTAGATAATACGAACCTGGGGTCGTATAAACGCACTTACAGCTCTCCTCGATCCAATCCCGAGACACAGCAGTTCAGACACGAGCCTCAAGATCCTCCTCCAAACGGAGACACTAGCTTCCCCGAGTGCATATCTGCTTAATATAGTGAGGGACAGGGACCCTGATTTTCTCCTATCAAAAAAAAAATAAAAAATCCCCAATTTTCAGATTTAAAAAAACCAAACCCAAAATCCACATTTTTCCATGATTAAAATGAAACATCACCAATATACAGATGTATACATCTTAGTGGTGTTTCAATCCATATATTATAGTTTCATAGTTGTTAGGGCAGGAAGGGACCTGAGCAGATCATCAAGTCCGACCCCCTGCCGTGGCAGGAAAGGATGCTGGGGTCAAACGACCCTGGCTAGGTGTCTATCTAGCCTCCTTTTGAAGACTAATTAGTGGTGTTTCATTTTAATCATGGAAAAAAAAAATAATGTGGATTTTGGGTTACTTTTTTCAATCCCAAAATTGGTTGTTTTGGGGTGTTTTTTTTAAATCAAGGAAAACCAGGATCCCTGGTGATGGAGAACAGCCTAAAAGGATGGCTCTGTCCGTGCTGAGCGTGTCGGCACACTGTTGAACACACACGTTCTGTGGCATTTCCAGACTGGGTTTCTTGTCTACTAAAATAGCATTTTCTTGCCCTCCCTGCTTTCACCTGCCCTTCCCATAATGAAAAAGATGCTTTGCTAATTTGGGGGGGTTCGGAGGCTACCCCTGTGAGCTGACTGAGCATCACCATGAAGGTGCTGAGGTTTCTGCTAAAATAAGCTCTTCTTTCCAGCGCACAGGGAGGGCGCTGGGCACTTTGCAGGGTCTGGACTTCTCCAGACAACAGCGTAGCGAGTGATGCTAGTCGTGTGAAATAAATGGCACGAGAGGTGCTGTGCTGGTGCGGTTCTCAGGGAAGTGCACGTTACCGGTCTCTGTGAACGGGGATCACATTTTAAAAGCTGGGGGAGTGCTGCGATGGAAGTAACCGGGAAGTGACTGCCAGCACCCTGGAGTCCCCGAAGAAGACACAACAGCGCTGACAACTGTCTCAATGTCCCCGGTGCCTGTACAGCCGGCAGAGCCGCTCCGTGGCAACCCCTTCCCGCAGCCTCCAGCGCAGCGAGGAGCAGAGCCGGGGCCTCTCTCTAGCAGATGTGCCCTTGAGGGGCCCGAGGTTGCCAGCATCAATTAGTGCAGCCTCCAGGCTCTGGCAATGCCCCAGGGCGATGCCGCCTGGCCCTGGCAGCCAGGAACGATAACCCCTTCCCTTGCATTTCCTACCCCGAGAACCAAAACCAACCTCCTGCGAATGCTTAGAGGAATTCGATAGGACACACATCTGGCCACACCCCGGCTGTGGCTCAGGGACATGGACACGGCACTGCATTTCCACTTTGCCCTTGGAAAAATGTCAACACATCAGCCCGTTCCCGAAGCCGGAGCGCTGTGCTGGAGGGGCTGCTCTGCCGGTAATGCAATTGTCCTGCCTCGCTGACTCCGTTCTGGCTTTTCAGAGACACGGGGCATTTATCAAATTAGGATTTGCAGGAAGGAGAAGGGATCCGGCAGGCTATATTTAGCAGCAACAACAACCAAAAAAAAAAAAAAAAGCAGCAGAATCAGCTGACTGGAGGCAGTAAGCCTGATGCACAGTCTAGTGTTAGACAGCTCGTCTTCTCTCCTGGAAGCGAGGAGGGTGCAGGACTCGGGAACTTCAGAGTAGAAACACGCCCGGCTCCGAGGGGAGAGAGACGTTCAGGTAAGGAAAAGGAGGGGGCTTTAAAAGCTGGAACTGGAAGTTGTGCCTTGCCCTGGAGGCTGCTAAAATGGGATCCTATGGATGAGAGCTGCTGAAACTTCGGGCATCTCCAACACAGGAGAAAGCAGAGACCTGCAGGGAGACGAGCCGTAGCTGTTCCCAGCCCAGGTCCTGCTGTACCCGTGACCAGCCCAGACCGTTAGCTACAAGGTCATGGGCTAGCACTCGGCCGTGCAGCTCTCTAGCCCTGTGGTGCTGATGTGACTGTGGCAGCTGTCTTGCAGAGTTTAGCCAGATCAGGTGAAATCCTTGCAAATATGCAAGGGAGGAGAGGGAGGAAGACCAAGACGGATATCAGCCCGATTCCGGAGGGAGGCGTTATTGCAAACGTGCCCTTCGACGGACAGAGCGGGCACGTGAGTAAAGGGGCGTTGCCGGGGCCTGGCACCTTTAGATCCAAACCATTTCTCCCAATGGGAAAGACTCCAATGGGAGCAACACGAGACCTTGATTTCTCACCTAAAGGCATCAAAGAATGAGCAACGAAGACAGAAAGCCTTCTCAGCGTGTTCAGACAGAAGTTACATTAGCAAGGTCCAGACGGGGCTGATGTTTCTAGCTGTCTGAAATGAAACCTGTAATAGAGCCAGCAACAGAGCAGAAAGCGTGAGCATGCAGCAATTTCTACTCTGTATGCCGAGGAAGGGCACAGCCCCTGCATTTCAGATGTGGTCTGTGCCTTGCTGCAGAGGGTTTCTGAAGCTAGAATTGATTTCCAGTAATAAAAGGAAGAAGAAAAAGAAAGCCCACAACACACTCATGCACATAAATGGCTATTTCCGCGCGTATGCATTTAGAAAGCACAATGGAGCAGTACAATTTTGACTAAGTAGTCCCATAAAAATCTGAAAGTCAAAAATTGGATCTGGGCTATATGAGCATTTCTTGCAAGCAAATGCTTAAGCCAAGAGTTACACCAGAAACAGTACTTTAGGAACTGAAACCATTTCAGGGTTGGACGCTAGTTAATAAACGGGGTAGACCACATGTGCATTGGCTTTGTTAGGGGTAGAATAGGAGCCTTGACTTTGCTTGGGATGGTCCTGGATTTATGGCCCTCGAGCCTACGTAATTACTGATCTACGGCCCGTAGCGCTGATGAAAAGGGGTGGGTTTCTGAACCACCATTTTTTGTCATTTCTGGGGGAACAGAGTGTAATATCACCGCCCTGTCCAATACTTCACTTAATGGAGAACCAGCTCCTATCCGTGCACAAAGACGGACTCCATTAACCGGGCCCCAGTCCTATAGTCCCCCATACGTACCCCGGGCAAGGCTCCATATCACACTGTGCAAATGAACGGAAGTGCCATATCGTATATGGGGAGCGGGATTACCCTGGAAGCTTCTTCTGAAGCTCTTGTTCCTATATCCCAGACAGCGATATTTAGGGACATACCTAAATTGTGGCGAGACAAAGGGTTTTTCACAGCCTGCTAGGGGTGTGCAAAGCCGATGTTGTGGGTGTTTCGCGGTGGCCCTGCCCCTTGGGGCTGATGGGTGGAGAGCCCAGGGAGGAGGAGGGACTGCTGGGGGGGCCCGCATTTTATTTAATTTTTTGCTGATTTTTCAGATTTCGCGGACCATCCCGGATTTCACTGTTCCCACAAAATCCACAAAGCTACGAATTAAGTCGGTCCCTATCGCTATTGAACCAGCAGGCGTGTGTAGGGCTGGGCTGCCCGATTGTCTTGCCACGGCTCAGAGGGATGAGCTGCGCGATTCTCTTTGCTGAATTGTTTTATCATTTGCCACATGTGAATAATTAGCCATTTAGTACATTTTATTCATGGCCTCTGTCAGGAGCCCCCTCCCGATTAAAAAGATTTACCAGCTGTATTTTTAAAAGGTTCCCCTGTATATTATTGTTTGCTTCTTCACTACAAAAAAAAAAGGAAGAGGAAGAGGATCGTATTCATCTTACAGTTCCTGTATCAGAGTTTCTCATTTGCATGTGCCAATTATGTCTTGTATATTTTTTGTAGCCATGGCGCCCCGGCTCAGACTGAATATTACAAAGCCTCTCCCGACCATATGTGAAACCCATGAGGAGCTGCAGGAGGATTTAAGCAGCAATGCAAAAAGTTTGGGAAGCTTGTCTACCAACTCAGACCTGTGCTCCAGCGAAGATTACCTTCAATCCATCTGCCAGTTAGCAAGACCCACCTTCCCCGCGATACCCGAAAACCACCCGAGGGTCCGAGACAAGACAACACTTCGAGAAGATCGGTGGTGCCAAAAGCCTGCGGTGATGCCAAGAGCAATCCCCAAATGTCAGCTGACCAACATCATCTCAAACATCATGTCATTAGAAAAAGTTCATCTAGTTTGTGAAGAGGGAAAACCGTACCCCTGCTCCGGGGATGATCCTCTAGAAAAGCTATATGCACAAGCAGGAAAGACTCATCATTATAAGGGTCCTGCCTCCAGTGAAAGCTTAACCGCAGACTACTCACAAAGCAGCCCTTATAATACCAGCAGTGATGAAACCCATCTAGTCGACTCTCAAGATAAACCTACAAAGAAGCCAAATCTGCCCAGGATATTCAGTTTTCCGAGGCTTCCCTCCCCTGGGCCAGTCCAGAGAGAGGATCGCTTCCCAGAGCTGAAATCCCTGAAAATCAATGAGAGGTCAGCGTCAGGAAGTGATCAGACTCGGAAAGAAAACTGCACCATGTTAATGAGCGGTAAGCGGATATGGCCACGGCCAACCAGAGAGAAATTTCCAGGAAACAAGATTCTGAGATGCTCTCTAAGGCGGCAATATAGCCTGTTCAAAACAGCAGACAGTGCTGAAAAAGCGGAGGTGGATTCTTCCAGCTACAACAGAAAAGCGACGGGAGAGGCTCTTAGTAAGCAGAGATACCTGGAATGCTTTCATGTAGCTAAAAGAGCCCTGATCCATAACTGGATCTCCGAGTGCAAATGTGCCTGGAAAGAAGCAAAGGTTAAAGCCTGCCTGCTTCCGGCCATTGCAGAAGTATGAGCAAGAAGGATGCTGAGCCGTAATCTTATTTGCAAGAAATGGTGGGCGCTGCTACTTGGAAATTCTCCCTATCGCTTGCATCCATTAAGCAGAGAAGAGGGCTGCAGGATAGGTTTGCAGATGAAGCAGACACATTTGGATCCATTGCATCTCTCACGGATGAGCACAGAAGCAGTTTGGATACTCAGACCCTTTACTTTTCAAGGGGAGAGCATAAGAAAGCAGCAAGTGACGGTGGGAGGCAGGAGTTTATAACAGCATCTTGCATCTGATCAGCAGCATCCACTGCTCACACGTGTCCTGTACCCAGAGAACGTAGCCAAAGGTGGATAACATCCTTCCTGTCTGCATCGCGCTCCACTTATTATCACAGCTTCCATCACCCGGGACGCACCTCCCTTCACGATAATGCAAAAACCCCTCCATTTATCGTCACTGCGCACACGGTCACAAACCGCTTAATGGCAACAACTTCAATGTTCGCTACTGGATAAGTGCGCTGCTTGGTGTCATAATTAGCGAATGATGTTCCAAGACTGAATCTGTTGGCAGACAATTAGCAGCAGAGTAATTTGCCTTCTTAAAGTGGTGTTGGTTGCAGCTGTGTTGGTCGAAGGACGTAGGCAGACAAGGTTCTTTGGGTAAATCTTATTAGACCAACTCAAATTTGAGCTGGTCTAATAAAAGATATCAGATTTGCCTTCTTAAAGAAATACAGCAGCAAAAATAAGTCTGGGTTTTGAGGTTTTTTTGCTTTACTGTGAAAGGAAACTTGTGAAGGATACTTGGACAGTATGCAATATGCTCTCTCCGATGATGGAGTACAGATTTTGAAAAAGCCTGGTGTGTATCACAGCAACTGTGCTCCCTTTCCATTTGATGTCTTCTGGGTTAAATAGGTCTCCATGGAAATGCTCTAAAAATTAGAAGAGGCCTTTCATGAACACACTCCATTAGAGCGCGGTGTGGGGAGGGATTGGAGAACCAGGCACTCGTTGTGCAGTACGTGTTAGCACGGGCCTTGCATTGCTGCTAGAGTGCAATGAAAATGCTCTGCTCTTTCAGTGTTACTAGGGATCCACGTGAAACCCAGCAGCCCACGTACTCTCACTCTTTTCATAGCATTATATTACTCTGCATGCATGTATAAAGCTTTTCCACGCCCACTGCTGGATACACCTGCATCACCTACAGAACGCACCTGTAACATGTAAGAAGCCAAATAGGTCACAAACCAATACTGCAAATGCCACGGTACTGTAGGAGGCGCATTCCCGGGGACTGGAAACCACAGGATCCTAGTTCTGAATGCAAGTCTGCCACTTATTTAGTGTAGTGCCTTAAGCAAGTCACTTAATTTCTGTGCCTCAGTTTCCTAATCTGTACTGCACCGCTAATAATACTGGCCTATATTTGCATGAAGCGCTGCAAGATCCCAGGAAGAAAGGCCTTGTGCAAATGCATTATGTCAGCAGGTTGTGTTTCTCTGTACACCAGCCCCTATCCTTGAATACAAAGCAACTCAGCGGCTGTTCATGCCGTGTCCGCTAGGAGACGGACAGAGACAGCCTCAGTGAAGGAGGTTACAGCACAGAGGGTAAAAACAGGTGTCGGTTTATCCTGGGTCTGATTGTCCCACGGGGACAGTCATTTATACACCCGGCTTGAAGGGCAGTTAACTCGGACTAGGGCCCAGTTGTTCTCTCAAATACTTCACAGGTACTTAAAGTGGCACAACGGGCATGTATATCTGTAGGGTCCTGGCATAGAAGTCTGTCCTGGGAGAAACAGGACATCTGTTTTTAGCTTACGAGTGTCCACGGGGGGAGATCGTGCAGAGGAGCTAGTGCACTGCAGCATCACACCCTCTTACTCTGTAATAACTCTCCTATGTAGACAAACCTGGAATCAAAAACCTGGATGTCTGCTAAAACAGAGCACAGGCCTCTGCCCACCACTACGTTTTCCATGGCAGAAGCAGGAAAGCATTTGAAAAGCTCCTGAATACTGACCAGAGATCAAGCCCGTCCTGCATGTGCATTCTCATTAACGAAGTGTTAATCGACACGAGTGTTTCACAGTGCCTCTGCTTCAAGCAATATTTTCAAGAGACATGTAGAAGCAGTTTATTTTAACCTGCCATTAATTACAACTGCTGATTGTAGAGCAATTTAGATGTATTAGTTGCATTGTGTAGATGAGCCTCTAAATGGATGTGTTGCAGCCTAATGAGTCCTATAAAGGATTGCCAGGGCACTTAGTGACTTGGAAGTGGAAAACCTCCATAACAAAATCAATTATAGATTTGCCATTTCAGCCGTCACAGCCCGTAAACGACAGGCAGGCTAATACAAATGCACCTCTCTTTACTCAAAGACGGGCATAACCCTCCCCAACCGGCAGAGAAGTGCAGGGCAAAGCACCAGCCAAGAGCACTCATTGCTGGGTTATTAGGAGTGAATTGGTTGGCACCTGGGGAGCGATGGCAGCAGGCTGTTGGCTCTGCTTAGGAGGGAAACCTTTGTGCAAAGCTATGCTCGTGAAAAATGCGTAGAAACTTATTTCTGTAGAAAAACAAAACCGAAGTAGCTTGGAGGAAGGGGGCAAGTTCTGATCCGTGTCTCGGTGCAGTGCATTAGTGGCACATCTCACCAAACAGCCGACTCGGCCATGTGGAAAGCCCACGATGGCCTTGGTGCCCGTTGGACCCTGGGAGAGAGTTTGAGGAGGAGGGAAATATTGCATTGGCTCTTGCTTTCTTGACCCGTACAACAAAGACGAAGTACTGGAGGGCAGCCTGATTGTCCTGCCCTCTCTTGTGTCCTGCTCCCCTTCTGTACGTGCGAACCGTTTTCTTGAGGCACCATCTGGATGGAAAAGATATTGTGTCCTTTCTGTCATTCCCATCCCCCCTCCCAGCTTTATTCTGTAATTACCCTTCAACTAAATATTTATAAGGCTGCAATGCCTAGCAAATCTGTTGTTGCTACTGCATGTATCATCAGTGCTTTGGAGAGCAGATGCAAATAAAAAACATCCAACCTAATTGTCTTCCTTGTCGGTACGGTGCCCGCTATTTTCAATGCAAATGCTGCCGACGTGGCATTTAGGATGCATGACCCTACACGCAATATGGAGACACAACTCCGTTTTTGCTGGTGACTCCCTTTCGTGCGTGTCCATCTTTGAAAGGCCGAAGCAGCTCACGTGCCGAGCTGCACACTGCTCTACCATGTAGAAAGTCTGCGTTCAGCTACGGGGCCCAGTTTCCTTCCTTCGGGGTGGGCTGGCTTTGGAGGTGTGGGAGGTGGAAAGCAGGGGCTGATGTTGCTCAAAAGGAATTGGCTGGTGAATGCAAGAGGTGGCATTAAGAAGCAGCCAGGTCTCTAGAGCCATAATGACAAGGAAGAAGAGGCTGCTCTTCATGGACTCGGTTCTCCATGGACTCAGCGGGGATTTTGAAGATGAGAACTCATCCATGGGGAAAACAAGTCAAAGAGTTGAACTAGCAAGACCCAGTCCTTGTAGCAGACTGAGCTGGGACTATAAAGGATGTCACCAACTTGTAAGGACAATTCAGGTTACAGCCTGTGTAGACAGGAAGCCGGAAAAACGTGTGCTGGGCACCTCTCTGCTTCGAATAAGACAGCTGTGGTATCAGTGTTGCACTGCTTGTCTTCTATAAAGATGCAGCACAAAAGGAGGGCTGGGAGTTAAGAGACTTGAGGTCTATAGTGGACCTGGTCTATAATTCACCACGTGAACTCGTGACAAGTGACTGACGTGGGAAGTTCCCCCCGTAGGTGCTAGGTCCTTTTGCAGAATGGGGGTTTTCAGAAGCCTGGTTTAGCTCAGACACAAGCTCCACCCAAGTCCCACTGCAGGTGTCCAAGTTACTTCTAGGATCTGGCCCTCGGGCACTCACACGCTGGCTCAGGCATCTTGCCACAGCCCAGAGCTTGGCATGCACGAAGGCAAAGGGGCAAGGGGAGCCGAGGAGATGAGAGAGGGAACATTAAAATGGCAGTGGAAAACGCAGGGGGCAGGTGCAAACCAGGAGGGCAAGAGTGGGAGAGGATGGGGGTGCCGGGGAAGAGGAGACAAGGGGGCAGGGCGCACAGACCAAAGACACCACAGAGGGCGAGAAGTGGAAGGACGGTACCGTAACACCACCGAGGCACACCGGGGAGAGAGGCACTCGTTTCTGCTTACTTCAGTCAACCTCAAACCTTCCGCTCTTCGGCTCGGCGGCAACCATTTTTGCAAAGCAGAAGCACCTAATGTTCGTGATCGGCTCCTCTGTCGGAGCCGAGCCACCCTGCCCGTCTGAAGGCAAAGGCCAGTCAGGTAACTAAGCGCCCAGCACCTCCCCTCGCTTTGTGGGTGAACGACCAGGGCGCTCCGTCAAGAAAGCCTGTCTCCATTTTAGAAACTATGTTCGAGCTAACTGAATGACAACTCTTGACGTAGGATAAAAACAGCTGGTTTTGTCCTGGGGGGAAATCCATCCCTTAACGGGCTGAGATGCCCCAAATCTGCAGGAATTGAATCTGGGCTTTTGAGGGGTAGGTTCATAGCTCGGGTCTGCAGACACTCTCTCTAAGGCTTCCTCCCCCACCGATTTGGTGGGACTCTTGAAAGCCCGTCTGGTCTGTGAGCCTGGCACTGCAAGCCCAACCAGCAAATCTCCCGGGTATTGTGAGGCCTCCCTGCTTCCCTTGCCCTGAGAGCAGAAGCGCACTGCAAGAAGAGAGCAGCTTGAGCAAGCTAGAAAGGAGCTGGCAGTTCCCACAGCAATCTGTTGTGTCTGCACTTGCCTCTTCCTCTCAGTCATTTCTTTACCTAGCAACTTCCAGTTTGTCCCCCCCACCCAAGCTCCTAGGACTCACCTGCGTCCTCGCCTTGTTACACCACCCCAGGGGACAGGAGACGGCCAGCTTCCTTCCTTGCAGATCAACAGCCCCCCTGCATAGGCCAGGCAGAGGCAGGTAACAGGTGCCCTCCAGGCTCCCACTCCTCCAGCCTGCAGAGCAGCACACAGGTGAGGCGGGCAACGATTATAAATTGCTGCACCTGAGCATGGGCGTGACCTGCACAAGGGAGCAAGGCAGGGGGGGCGGTGAGAGGCAGCAAAGCAAGGCATACAGCATTCTCAAAACTCAGAAATCGGAGCAGAAGATAGATGTACACAGAGCTAAAGATTAATCAGTTAATCAGTTAGATTAATCAGTACTCCTGCAGGTAATGTCCAGCAGGAGGTAGGAAAGGTTGCACATTAAACAGAGTTTTGGAAAGGGGAGCAGGATCAGGGGCCACACAGCTAATTTACAATGAGAGCAGAGTAGTACTTAGTTGGTGAACCAAGTAGCCCTCGAAGCAGTGGGTTAATTTCCAAAGGACCATTTGCTTTAGAAATTGCGAGAGAAAGCTCTTTGGAGAAGCGACTCAAAATGAGTAACAGTGTAATTGTGCCTAATTACAGCCCTGATGGCTTCTTCAGGACATATATTTGTGATGAACTACCAGTAGTCCAGATGGAGGCTTATGGTACGTGGAGTAAAAAGAAGGTGAAATAGATTTAAGGCAGGAAAAGAGGAGTTAGTGACTGGGCAGGATTTACTTGGCTTTAGTGAGTGAAAGCCTCAGCTGTGCTATTAGCAGCATGATTAATGGCAAAGCCATTTTACATTCTCCACTCAATCATGCACAGAACAGAGATCCAAGGAAAAAACTAGTGCAAGGAACATGGGCACAGGATAATGGACACGTCTGAGCTCCGCATCCTCGTGCGGACGGCACCGTGCATGCGATGCCTGCATCTTCCACGTGACCTTTAGGATGCATGCTTTTGAAAGGTGTGCATTGTTCTCCTGGGCCCCAAATCAAGAGCTTTATTAGTGACCATCTTATCTTCTTTCCACAAATGTTTCTGCCAGGGAACTTTTTTTTTTCCTCTTCTTACAGACTCACTGAAAACAAACACAAAAAGGAAAGCAAATGGCCCAGGCTAATGTATTTGAAGAATCAAGTGAATCCCAAAGAACCTCATCACTGTGCACCAAACCCCCCACACAGCACCAGGGCTGGCTCCTTTGCCTGTTGCTCTCCAGGCTCTAGCACAGGGCGGGAGCACTGCAATAGCAGTTTCTTGGTGCCTTTGCAAAAGGCCAGTGCTTTTCTCTGTCTCGAACATGGCTTTTCAACTCCAGCATGAGATGGGGGTAGGAAGGTAATGGATAGGGTGTAAATACACACACCTTTGGCTCTGATATCCTTTCCAGAATGAATGCCTGCCACATGCAACTCTTTCCAGGGCCGTGACATGGGGCCATATCTCAGGAGGTGAAGATGGACAATTTTTGGCATGCCACCCAGCAGATCCAAACCCCATGAGGTTAAAGGGAATGTTACCGTCTCTGGTTCCTAACGGGCATCGTTAGAACGCCCCCATCCATTTGAGACAATGGTTTGTTTCTTAGTCGGCTCATTTGCTCACGTGTATTCATGTTCTGTCAGTCACTTCCGGCAGGTTTTTGTGAGTCTGCCGGGGCTACTGGAAAGACCATCTGCCTGCAGTAAGCACCACAGGAAGCTTAGCAAAGATGGGGTGTTAACCACAAATGTCTGCTCGCATTATCCCCATGGCTTGGAGACAGCACTTGCTAGTTCTCCTCTCTGCCACAGAAAGCCTCTGCAGTCAGCAGCGCTGTGAAGCAAAACCAGCAGCGGGAAGCCCCTGCTTCAGATTTGATAGGTGAGACCTCAAGTAGAAAAGTCCCCAAGTTGATTGATACTTAAATCATTTTTCCCTTTGCCACAATCACTTTAGAAAGAGAAGACTTGCTAGCACTTATCAGGAGTGCTGAACAACACTGCTCCTGTCCCTCCATCGTGCCAGGTGCGTTATGTGGGCTACACTGGCAGGCCGAGTGGAAACACTAGTGCGCTTTTCCTGCCGAGGTCCTGTTTCTTCACCTCAAAACAAGAGAGATTATAGATGCCAGGTTTCTAGCTGCTGACATGCTAACACTAATACTAATGACCTTGCTCAACACTTTTCTACATTTCCTCATCAGCCTGCACTATACAAGCAGGCCACAATTAGCATTCAGTTGGATGCCTAGCAGCTACCCAGGTTGGGGGTCCTTGACGCTAGGTACTGTACCAATATATGGCATGTGATGGTCCCTGTCTTGAAGCTTATGATCCAGGCAAGTCCTAGAATAGGATTGGTAAGGGTGCTTAGAGCTAGCTTAAAGAAATGAATATGGGAAACCTAGTTCAAACCCTGCTCAGAGCATGTCTGTACCAAGCTAGTGCTTCATGTCAGAACTACACACGCTGCACGATCATGCCACCTGAGAAGGTTTCAGCTCAAGAAGAGAGTGCCTTGCCAGCACCGTGGCCTGGTCCAGTAATGACGAGTCCCTTATAAACATATTTGTAAAAGGAGGCGCTGGTGTGTTCATCTCGAGGGCAAGAAATGTGAGCAGCAGGCAATGGACTTGGCTCTGATTCTGAGACCAGCATTGACCCATTATTTCTTGCCCATCTTGGACCCCAAGTGAGGTGCTGCTTGCAAGTCTGAGCAGCTGTGTCCCCTGCTCCCCCAAATTACAGGCACAAAACTGCAATCTGTGGAGACCTGGGAAAGCTGGCAGCCGATCCCACCCGTGAGCAAAAGATACTGGTGAACCTGCTGGGGAAGAGGATGGTTAGTCCTATTGCTGCTGATCCTGGGCCTGATTTATTGCTGTTCTGCACTCTTTATGGGCCTCCTTTGTGCCGTGTCTGCATATGGTGTAGCTCTTCAGTCCCCTTCAATGGACCTGATGGGCCATGACAACAGGGAGAGGAGGGCTGTCTTTCCTGTACTTGTGGACCATACTAACCTTTATATAAAGACCACTTCCCTGCATCGCTCTGGCTCCCGTGCACGGATGAACCTGCCCTGACTCCCTGTGTTTTGTCTGAATGAGGCCACAGTAAAGGGAAATAAAAAGCAGAAGTCTTAAATCAGACAGAATGAGCTATTCC